AACAGAACTGCAAAGCAGAGTTAATTAACAAACATTCATATATTTCATACAATTGTAAACGTAAACATCAAAAAACCAGCAATAAAAGACGATTTTACTACCTTATATTGTGTCATAATATTTGATAGTTTGAAGTTGCACCTTTCTGATTTCTAGAAGCACCTTCTTCTCAAGGGTGGCTACAATTAGTATTGGGACTAACCCTCAATTCCTAAAAGGATAAAGGTGCTGAAATTATAAATACAATTACTGTTTTTAACATATTACTATAATCTTTTAAGTACAATAAAGTAAAGGCTTGCCCATGAAGACTTCTCATATTGGACCTGCCTGTATACTGCTAAGCTTCGAAGCCAAGAATGTCTCTCTATCCTGCATAACCACTGATCTCAGCATCCTTTTTAGAAGTCTTTAAACACGTAGTAGAAGTAGCAGGTTTTATTAACTTATATCCCACCTATCTCCCCCATGGGGACCAAAAGCAGCTGACATCATTTTCCTCTCCTCCATTTAATCATCACAACGACCCTGTGAGGTAGGTTAGGCTGACTGCATATGACTGGCCCAAGGTCACCCAGTGAGCTCCTGTGGCAGAGTGGGGATTCTAAACTGGGTTTCCCAGATCCCAATCCAACTCTCTGACCACTACACCATACTGGCTCTCGGGTTGGGCTGAGAGAGAGAGGAGCTGAAGGATGCCCAGTGAGTTTCAAAGCAGAAAGGGGAACTTTAGCCTGGGTCTTCCAGTTCCTGGTCCGACACTCTACTACAGCACAATGTGACTGGGAGGAGACAATGCCAGAACTATGACTCATGCAGATACACAACAGGCAGACACCCAGGGAGATAAATACTTCTGCTGCCTCTCTGCATTCAAGAATGACCTAATTGTACCCAGTGTAGAATTGGCATAGGACTCTCTGTCTCTGCTGAGGCTTATTGCCTGGAGGCCATGCCGCAGCTGTGACTTATGCAGAGAAGCAACAGGTACCTTTCGCTGTTGAACTCTTCCCTAAGGGTTTTTAAAAGCTTCCAAATGATGAGATTTCTGTTAGATTCAGTCAGGGGCTATATACCTAAGAACGAAACATGAAGCAGGGCAATTTTTCCCCCTTCCACAGACCTAGTAAAATAGGAATATGTTGCCGTTTCAGTCCTTACACGATGCAAACCTATCTAGTCACCACATCCTCTGTCTGACCCATTACCCTCCAGTGGGTACGTCTTGACCCACCAGCAGCAGGTGTGCTCTGATGGAATATGGGTAGCACTAGTAACCATGACAAGGTGCTCTGGGACAGTCAAGGGTGCTGGTTATTCATTTAAAAACCTTTCACAGCTTCAGGCCTTCAGAACCAATGGGTCACATCTCACATTATACACCTGTGCACCAACTCCACCCCTTGGACTATAGCAGTGATGGCGAGCCTTTTAGAGACCGAGGGCCCAAACTGTGACCCAAAACCCACTTATTTATCGCCAAGTGCCAACACGGCAATTTAACCTGCATACTGAGGTTTTACTTTAGAAAAAACAACTCATATATTAACTTAAGATGATCCAAACAAAGTCAGGAAAGCAATCCCAAATGCTTTCATTTACTTAAAATTAGTTGGCCGAGAATTCGACACTTTAATGATGGTCTGGGGCGATGGCACATGTGCCCACAGAGAGGGCTCTGAGTGCCACCTCTGGCACCCATGCCATAGGTTCACCACCACTTGACTATAGCCTCCTTGCTACACCCTCCCTCAGCTGAGTGCATTCTATGGCAGCTCAGGGAAGAGTGTTTTCAGGAATAGATCCAGGCTCTGGAAAGGCCCACCTGTAGAGGCGTGAAAAGCTCTGTCCTGGATAGCTGAGGCTAACCTGATCTCATCGGATTTCGGAAGCTAAGCAGGTTCAGTCCTGGCTAGTATTTGGATGGGAGACCTCCAAGGAATACCAGGGTTGTAACACAGAGGCGGGCAATGGCAAACCACCTCTCAACATCTCTTGAAAACTCCATTGGGGTTGCCACAAGTCAGCTGAGACTTGAGGGCACTTTCTGCCGCCACCAGAGGTGTGGAAAGCATCACTGATGGGTCTTTTCCTGTATGGCATGTAGAACCATTTTCTGTGAGAGATCCTTTTGAGGACACGGAGGGAATGCTGGTTTTGTTGAAAGAGGTTATAAGCAAAAACTGATATAGGCCCCGGTCACACGGCAAAGTTGCCGCGGGAGAGGCACGGATGGTGGGCGGATTATCCGGGCGCAATCACACCCCAACATCTGGGAAGTGGAGCGCACCCGTGGCTTACAGCTGACAATGCGAGTTAAAAAACTAGTACCTCCAAGGTACTAGTAAACGTTTGCCACGGGCTGCCTCCAGACGCCCGTGGTGTGATCGCGCCGGCACGCGGCATTCCCCTCC